ATTGTACTGGACCCTTAATATTTAAAAGTACCATAATCAAAATTGAGACATCTATTAATTGGAAATAATCTAGAAAGTTACAAGATTTGTGTGAGATGTCTCTAAAGGATGGGAAATAGGGGCCCACCTGAGAATATTTAAAGGATTAGTGGGAGAAACACAGAGGCTCAGGCTATCCATGCAGTGAATTAGGGCTGCATAGGAATATGACCCACCCCTTCAGATGAGGAAAGAGAAAGCAGACAAGGCTCCACGAAGGTAAGAACGCACTGATTTGGAGTGAGAGACGGGATCACGAATTTCACAAGGAGAATATGAGACAACAAAGGGATGGAATCCATTTGCTACTGAGTAGGAAGCCTCAAGAAGTCTGGCCTGGCTAGAGGAGACTGTTGGAGTTGAGTAGAACATGTGCTCAAACCAGATGAAAGGGAGCCTTGAGTGCCAGGCAAAAGAAGCTAGGATTCTCAACCCTCAAATCTGGCTTCTCCTCCAAACTCTAAACAAACAGCAAAATTACTTAGTTTTGGCCTTAAGTGAGCACATCAAGTGAGCTTCCTCCCACAGCTGAAATTATGTCTCTTTCCCCTCTTGTCTGTATTAATCTGTATAATCAAAATAGTTGAGAAGATATTCCTTTCCTTTCCACTCCCAGCCCCTCCTCCAGCACACCCGGCCAGTATATGACAAGTACCAGTATATGACGCCAGCTTGGGGGTGGGTAGCAGAATCTCTACTTTTTCTTCTTTTTTGTGGCAAAGACTGACTGGACACTCACCATCCAGTGACTGTTTCCTCATCACCCAAAAAAACTTGATTTCCTAAGCTTCCTACCATCAGGCTGGAGTCACGCAACTGGGTTCTCAAGGGGCCCTACAGAGGGCCTGGCCTCTAGAACATTTCACACAGTCTTCTGTTCATGCCCCTACCGACTTATAAGCCTAGAAATAAAGGCTTCAGGAGGGTGGGAACATGATGGCAGGACCTGCTTCTCACTCAGAGATGAGCCAACAGGTGTGCATCCCTCCATGACAGGGGCCAGGAAGGACTGGGTTCACCCTCAGAGCTATGGAGCCTGCTCATCATTGCAGCACAGCCGCCTCCATCCACCTCTGATCCCAGTGTTTCTGACCCCATTTCCTCCCTCTGGTCTCTTCCCGCTATCCCATGGCCTTTGGCTTTCTTTCCACTAGTGCTTTTCCCCTCCCCACTCAGGAAAGACTCAGGCCTTTGTCCTCCTTGGACATCGACCTGCCACTTGTCTTGGCTGGTCCCTCTTCTGAAATGCTCTTCCTCCACATGTTCCCCTAGTTGCCACCTTATTGGCTGATATGACCTTTTCCCAGAAGAGGTCCTGATCCTACCCATGCACCCATGCCCTCATGACACTCTTCTTGATGGCTTTCAGGGCAGTTCCTGATCCGTGGAATTATCTGATCCATGTACGTATTGTCTGTCTGCATAGTATGTCTCCTGTAGAAGAAAAACTTGGTGTGTGGTATTGTTTTTAGTGCTCTCACCTGCTCACTCATGAATGGATGAATGAATGAACAAATGAAAGAATGAATGAATGAATGTAAATATTCTCTCCTCTGAGTCATCTAGTCTCACTATCTTCACATATGAGGAAATTGATCCTTTTCCCAAAACAAAAGGGAACAGGAAAGCAGCAGAGGCCCCTTCATCTTTCTGACTTTTCCTAAAGTGTTGAACTTGGATGTGATTTATGCAAATGAAACTCTGGGGGGATTGTTTCAGAGGGATGTATAAAACAAATGTCACTTTTACCTGGAGAATTGATCCAACCTTCGAACAAATTTCAAATATAGTTCTTTAATGCAGATTTGACAAATTTGAAATCTCTTACACAAAGCCATTTATCATCTAATGTGTGCCTGCCCTGCAACTCAGTTTAAGTTATAGCTTTTTAATGGGGTAAAATATTTCTATAAATCAAAATACCTTAAATATTCAAAATACCTTAAACTAAAACTGCCTATAAGAAATTGATGGATTCGAAGCATTGATTCAGCCTCTGAAAGAGTCCCCTGGCCTGGCACCATGGGTACTTCTAATAAAAGCAACTAAGGAGGTATAGTGAATATCTAATGTACCATTTTGTATATCTGTGTGGTTTCTCAAACTGGAAATAAATCAATGAACATTACAAAATGCATATTGTAGTGGCATATTCATAAACAATAGTTTGTTTTTCTATCATGACTCCAGCATCATTCTTTTTAAAACACAACTGAAGATTTAGTACTTTGTTACATATAACCATAACCCAGAGCTTCAAGAGGGAAAAAAGTCTCACCTGTGCATGATTTTATGTCCTTGCATGTGAAAGCCATGTGGGCCATAACGCCAAAACCAAAGCACCCACTATCCAGTGACGAACACAGGGCATAAGAATAAGAACCGATAAATAACATCACAGAAGCTGCCTTAAATACTAGAGCAGGGGAAGACAATATTGGTCTAGATCAAGCACTCACAGGCACAGTGCCAGGCCCATGCTGGGGCCCCGGGTATCTCTGCCTCCAGAGCCAGCAGCAAAACACAGCTGTGTCAGCCAGAGGCAGGCCATGTTCCACAGGCTACACACACAGTAAGGGCGGAACGTGCACACATAGCTCCTGCCAAAGCTTTCAGCCGTGTTGTCTCACCCTCTTCCTTAACTGGAAATGGGGGAGCTGTTTCCTCTCCTGTTAGCTCAGACACTGTGACCTAAAGCTGCCTCTCTACCTCGGTGACTTCCCTTCTAGAAGCCAAATATAACCATCCCTTTCCCGGTTCACAAAATTCCAGTCAGACTGCTGTACACAGTGATGAGTGGCCAAAGAGTATCACAACAGCCCAGGCCACAGCCAAAAATACCAACCCTTTGGTTAGTGAAGGCTGTTTTTCTGTTTTGTTTTGTTTTTTTGTTTTGTTTTGTTTTGTTTTGTTCTCCACTGTTGTTGGGACTTTATTGGGAGTTACTTTTATTTTGGTTTTGAATTCTGCTTTTGTTTTGTCTTTTGAAACTAAACGGAGTAATTGAAGTAGCTGCCATACGAGGCTCACGGCTTTAGTTCAGCATGATGAGCTGTGAGTGGAAAGGTATTCACCACTCACCGCTCCCCAGTCATCTGCATGAAAGGAGGTCTTGCAGTAAAAGAAGGCTGGCAAAGACTCTTATGTGGGCCAGGAGGGGATCTTCCATGCCTCTGTGCTCATCAGAGAAGGCCTTGGTGCCCCACTGGCAGTTCAGTGCCCTCCCCACTGAAATGACTTCAGTTATTAATTTATTTCTTTAAAAGTACACAGTGTTAGGGGCTGGAGATTTAGCTCAGTGGCATAAGCGCCTGCCTTGCAAGCAGGCAGTCGTGAGTTCTATCCCTGGTACTGATAAAAAAAAAAAAAAAAAAAAAGTACACAGTGTTCAACAATAACCACGCCCATTTTTTGATTGCTTCATGAACCCAAGACTCTTGTCAGCCAGGCTTTTTTGGAAGGCCTACAGACACATCTTATTAATTCTTCCCTAACAGGTGACATTAAAATTAAAACACACTGAAGAGAACCAGGCTGGGAAAGATGATTGCCTTCTCCATGCCCTGTTTCCAATTGCAATGAAAAATAAATAATTTTGCAAAAACTATAACCTCCAATTGTTGGAACATTTTTGTACTTTTATTGTTGAAAGGCAGGATGTTTCCTGGCGTTATGTCTCCACCTGAGAAAAAAACATTCCCTCAATTTCTCCATGTGTGAACATATCACACAAATATATCTCATTTCTTGTCATGTTGAATGTTGTTCCAGAATCGATAAATAATGTATGTGTGTAATGCATTTATCAGTTCTCCTGTAAATATGTGAGTACATACACATACACATAAATATAATAACTGTCTTTTATATTAACAGAAAACAAGCAATCTCCTGGATATTTCTCCACCCTGAAATTAACTTTGCATTTTATCAAATGAGTAAAAAAAAAAAAAAAAAAAAAAAAAAAAAAAAAAAACAGTAACAAGACCCCGTTCTTTAGAGAACTAAATGCTAATCTATACCAAAGAAAGAGTTATGCTAAGATTTCCACATTGCATACTTTCTGAAATTACTTCTCTTGGTGGTTTTTTTTTTGGGGGGGGGATGGGTTATTTTCCAAGGATGGTCTTTGTTACTCCAGAGCCACTTAGATTGTTGAGGAAATGTAGCTCCAAAGGTTCAACTTGTTGTATCCAAGTTACCTCTCCTCTGCTTCCCCCTAAGAATATTTATCATGCTTGTCATTAAGAACTACTTCTGAGCACCTTGCAGTGCCAAGAGGGGTACCAGGTGCATGTGTTTGGCAGTCCTCACCTCCGCTGCTGTCCGCAGGCTCCAACTTGGATTTAAGCAGGTCATCATTCACACCCTCACGGCAGCAGCATCTTGGGGTGCCACAAACGTGACTGCAAGCAGTAGGCAAGGATGCAAGGGCAGCAGCTGCTCTAAGCAAAGTCACATGACTGCACCTGGCTCCTGTTTATCTCGGCTCTCCCACCTCTCCCCACCCATTTTCCCATTTGGAAGGCTTTTGTGTTTCAGCAGGGTCATGAAAGAATCACTAGAATTATAGACTATTAAAAAAGATAATCTTATCTAACCTGTTCATTTATACATAAGGAAATGGAGCTCCTGGGGAGTTCAGTTCTTTGGCCATGCTCATACAGGTGGTCACTGGCAGAATACAGATTGAAATTAAGTATCAGACTTCAGTTTCCAATGTTCGTTCCATGATACCAGTGGCTTCCCAACATTTGTTGGTGCAATCCACAATACACAGTAAATCTGATATCATGATTCACGTGTGTATACGTGCATGTGTCCAATACAAACATTTCCCGAAACGGTACTTTACTACATGATGTACTTGGATGTTTTCCATTGCAGTATATTTATTTTAAAATATTCTGGAGCTTTGATTCTTCTATTGTAGTACATTCATTTTTAAAATATTCTGAAGCTTGCTTAACAGCATGTATACTAAAACTGGAACAATACAGAGAAAATTAGTACGGTCCCAGCACAAAGATAAAATGCAATTTTTTCATGTTTTCTGTACATTTATAAAATGGTGCTTTACTTTCCTGGAATGTAAGTATTCGATTCTGTGGCTTACATTTCTCCCTGTTAGGTACATTTACTGAATACCTAAGAAGGCGAGAGTTGGGTTAGATATAGTATGAGGAGCCTTATAATTCTTACCTGTCACAATCCCGATCAGGCATGATCTCACTGTCTAATCTGTCCTCAGTCAGAATGATCTAGGAGAGAGAACACTGGATGTAGAGTCAGCACCAAGGCTCTCATCTTGGCTCCACTAACTACCTAATATGTCAATTTCTGTGCGTTTCCTCTGGCTTCTGTTATCTCATCTGCAAGATCAAGCTGTTGCTAATTGACAAAGTTCTGAGAAGTAAATGAAATAATGCAAATTAAAGCAATAAAAAGCTCTATACCCAAGCCTTGTCCTGGAATAAGGATGATCTTAAATTCTCGCATTTCAAAGAAATACAGTGTTTCAAGATGTTTCTGTATTCTCATCAAAACACCTGCATGATGTATTGTGAATAAATTTGGGAGAATAAAGGAAAACTATATCCTGAAACGGACTCATTTTTAAAGGCTTTTTGCAGGTGTTTGGAGAGAAGAGATTGACCCAAAATCTTAGAGATATTCAGTCCCGAAAGCAGTTGAAGTCACTGTGACAACAGAACATTCCATGTCCTTGAAAAAGAAAGGTGCTGAGTCTCAAACTGAGAAACATATTCGAGAGAGAGAGAGAGACAGCTTCCAGTGAGTTGAAAGAGGAGGAATCTAGTGCACACATGGCAACAACGTCAGACGGCTTTGCCAGGCTGGAGGCCGGTGGGACAGCAGAGGGGGAGCGGATGAAAAGCTGGGGCTCTTCAGGCTCCGAGTCATGCAGCTGCTCGTGAGGAAGACATCTTTCTGGGAGGTGGCTCGCCTGATTTTAGGATATTCCACCTTTAGACTCATTCATCCCAACTAATAAAGATCAAAGCTTGATGCAGAAATTATTAAGCCATCCAAAATGCTAGCAATGACATTGGCAAGCATGAAGGTTGTAAGGGTCCCTGAGAGCTGCAGACACTGTGCAAAGCCATTGGAAGCTAAGTCTGAAGCCTCTCAGAGGTTTTAGGGCCAGTGTGGGAAAGGCACCACAGCCCTACTGGGGTAGGCGGGCTGCTACTGGGTGAGACAACAAAGAAGTTGTCATGCAGATCCTTAGTTGGAGGAGGACTCTGGCATGGGTGGAGTGGTTGGAGGTGGCAGGGGAAATGGCATGTTCTGGTTCCCAAAATAGTGTATGATCACTATTCATGAACTTGAAGCTGTGTCTCTCACCAATCATCTTGGGGAAATTGCTTGGAAAAAGAGACTAAGGAAAAGCTTATGGATTTCAGTTATTTCCTGCTGGAAAATCTATGATGCCTTATGGCTGCCATTATCCATGCCTATGGATAACTTATTTTGTGTCTTTGAGTGAAAAGATACATTTACATTCCTTTAAAACAAAAGCCTCCGAGCAGAGCATTTAAAAACAGCACCCCCAAATATGCAGAAGGGTGAAGGATGGCCCCAGAACACACCTGAGTAGCCCCTGCAGGCCAGCTCAGTCTTCTCTTCCAACACCTGTGCTTGTCTCCATTCCCTGGTGGGCAATTCAAAAATCCGCTGTTTTAGTCTTCTTGAGCCCATCTTCTCGTTTTTCCATTTCCTCATTCTCTCAGCTCTCCTGATGCTTTGCTTCCTCGCCTTCCAACCTAGGCTCAAAAGACCTAGCACTTCCACCACAGCAACTGCTCTAGGGTTCCTCTTTCAGCTCAGGGTGCTGTTACTCTCAGTCTTAAAGGTGCAACAGTCAAACTAATCTGCAAGAAAATTTCTTCCATCATTTATCAGCAGCGTGCAACTCAGAGACTGGCCCCTGCCCGTGACCATGGATGTTCACTGAATGAAATTGTGTGTCCATATGGAGCATTCACTCTGCTAGCTGTATGATTGTAAAGACATAAAGAACACAATCTCCAAAGCCCAATGCATCAGGAAGTTGCAGGTGGTGGATGTTTAATTCTAAAGCCTTAGGAGGGTCACTTAATCTTCCAGTACTTTTGACTATCTACCGTGACCCAAATAATACAGCTGGCCTCCAGAAGCCAGACATGCCACAGTGACTCCAAATCCAGCTAAGATAGAGGTGTCTGAGGTCATTTACCTAGGGCCATTTTCATACCTCAACTATTCCAAAGGGCTGCTATAGAGATGGGGAGTAGGGCCCCTGCAAACAATCTTCTATTCACCCAAGTTCTTGCATCAACTCTGGCTCAGTACTGCTACAACCCCATTTCTCCCTCAGACATGCCCTCATTAAAGGATTCATCTATCAGAAGAGCAGGACCATGACAGAGGTTAAAGAAGCAGCCTCAGGTAGATGCAACACAGACTGAGATTTCGACTCAGCTGCCTGGGTAGGCTCTTAGCAGAGATGCCGGTGAGAGCTTGTGAAATGTGCTTATGGTCAAACTTCCCTCTCTGGCTATGAGGAGCATGTTTCACACACACCACACACACACATGCCCTCACAATGGCTGCTCAAAGATGCTGCCCCAGGTAACCAGTATCTACAGAAAGAGTCAGACAAAATTTCCTCACTTTGAATCAGTTCTTCCATCTCTCTCTTTCCTAGTGCAATGTTTCATAAAAACTAGCCCATGGACTGACCCTCTGCATCAGGACTTAAGGGCTGTTATGAATGCATCTTCCTGCCCCCATCCCAGAGAGATTAAATCAGCAAGTCTAAAACTGGAATCAGGGAATCTGAATTTAAACATTACTCTGCCTAATAAAGGTTGAGAACAACTTTTAAAAGTCTTCTCTGCTCTTCTCCACTTCACATCCTTAATCCATGGTGGCTTCACATCCTTAATCCATGGTGGCTGTCCATGTGGCCACTATTCTCTGTGCACCCTTCATTCCTTTGGCCATGGTGAAGAAGACAGTAGGGTCTCAAAGGGAAGGAGCTGGACAGGAAACGGTCTAGTGGGACTTTCTTTCTCTGCACTGACCAAGACTCTTGCCTTACTGTGCTTTACTTTAATCCATTGACACCTCCCCATCTGGTCCTTCTTTAATTTGATTTAGTCTTCTTGCCAAACATGAGTACTGGGCTAGCCTGGGAACTTAGCATACTGAGCTCAAATAAAGTTTTCTGGATGAAACCTAAAGAATCAGGTATCTGATATTTAGCCTTACGGTGATCTATTTTTAGCCAACACCTTCCAATAGGTCTCTACAAATAGACTTGCAAAAATGGAGATTTTAATGCTAAACAAGAGAGATGAGGAATAAAGACATTTTGCCATCTACATAGCCCCCAGATTTGAAGTGTGAATTGGAGATGACTGTGACCCTGCCTGTAACCTCAAAGCAAATACTCAGAACACCAGTCCCCATGCTGCTTGATGAGAGAGCTATTTTAGTACGCGAACTAGTACAGTTATTGTTCTCTCTGCTCTGAATCAAGGATAAAAAGAAAAGGTGAGAGTGAGAAGGAGGGTGTGAGAGGGAAGGAATGAGGGTGGGCTGTAGAAATGCAGAAAAGCAAGCAGGACCTCAGATGTGGGGCCAGGGAGAGTCAGGTGCTCAGCCCTGGAATAAAGTAACCAAGAAGCCAGTCTTTGAATTCAAATCGCCATGTGGCTCAGCAGCCATAGAAACAGTCCCTCCCTCTAAATCTCTCCGGATTCTGGAGGGACAAAGACAGCATGTATATGTCGAAGGACTTTGTTAATGCTGGTAGACTATCAATAAGGGATGTTAGCTCCCTATCTGTAGCCAAGGAGCTACTCACTCTTTCCAAAAGCCCCTCACAAAGATTTGGGACAGTAAAGGCAAAAGGAAGCTTAAGTAGCAAACCTTTGTTCATCGAGTTCAGAAGAGGCAAAAAGGATAGAGAATGGGCCCTTCCCCCAGAATGTAGGAATTACCTAAGAGCTTAGAAAGGGTGCTATTTTAGCAAGAAACTGCAAATGAGACAGGACTATGCCTCAGCACACACTGCATTTAGGCATCTTGACAAACACCCTGAATGGGAAGATCAGCACCCTACACAAATGAATGTGTATATGCAGATTTTTTTGGAGACCAGTGGGCCTGAACCACAGCTTCCTTCCTGCTTTCTGCTTTGTCAGCAGGAATGATTTGCTGCCATAGGCACGCTGAGCTTCCTCTTGGGCTCTCCTTCTCCTGAAAGCCTAAGACAAGGCATTTATCCCACTTCTTAAGGAAGTGACTTCAGTTCCTAGCTCTGACTCATCCATCCTTCTTTAGCTCTGGCCTAGCTGCAAGGTGAGCGGATCACCAGGATTTAGCCACTAGAGGGAGCGAGAGAGCAACAAGGGCCAAAGTTTCCCAGATGACCAGATGGCATCTGTTGCACTGGGCTTCCTAGCACTTAAGAACCCACTGAGACAAATGTCTCACTGCATGCAAGGCTCCTTGGTAAACTCTTATTTGCTTCTTTATCAACTTTGGATAGAGAACAAAACAATTAATTTAAAAGGAGCGCACAAGAACCTAAACGTTATTTATGCCCCTAATTATCTCATTCTAGTGAGTATTTTAGTCCCTATCTGGTCAGGACATTAATTATCTTCATAACTACAGCAAAAGTTAAATAATAAGCACCCAAGGCTACAGCACTACTGTAATGGGCAAGCTTAAATGAACTTATAAATTTTATTAATGGATGCTTTATACAACTCCATATATTATAAATCAAACAGGAAACCTATTTCTATCTTTAAGGGTACAGTGAAAAAGCTTTAACATTATTGAAGATAATTTTTATTAAGTTTAAAACTCTCTCTCTTTTTTTCAGTAATGAGACTGTTATGAGGATAATTTAATCTAGTTTGTCATGAGGCACCCCGGCTTGTTAAATAAGTTAATAAATGACTGTGCATTAATCAAAGTGACAAAGCTATGAAGAACTGGGGATGGGAGACAATTCTGGTGATAGTATTAATTAGTATTTAATTAG